ACAGTGACTCCGAAGTTTCATCGGCTGCACCTAATCGACGGCCCATGAAATTGACTGTGGATTTAGGAACCGGAAGAGGGATGGGTGAAGCGCCATACCGGGGAGAGGAGAGGAGATGACTGCAAATCGAGGCCCCGTTAATCGCAAATCGCCGCTGCAGCAACCCACCGAGTGCAACTGCAAATCGCCGTCGCAACCGTGGCGATCTGACGATTGGACGGGCGAGGTGAGGCGGCGGTTTCAAGATGAGAAAGAGATTGCTGCGCTGCTGGGACAGCGACGAGGGGAGGGAGGGAGAGGGGAGAGGGAAAGGAGGCGGCGGCAATGGTGGAGAGAGAGAGGAGAGGGTGAGAGAGAAGGTAGAGAAAATGAATTAGGGTTTGAAATTAAATATAATTTATTTTTTATAATATTTAATTAAATATAAAAAATTTGTATCTATTTTAAAAAGTTCTGACTTTTGAGAAAAAAAAAGATAAAATCTGGTTTTAGAAATTGGATTTCCAAAGGTAGGGATAGGTGTAATTTCCACTAATAACAGCCACTAATTACCTCGATTAAGGTTAAACGGGCTGGCATCATGATAATCCTTCTTTGACTCCCATTTTAATCAAAACTCACACATAGGTAAAATAATTTTATAAATAAACTAAAAAAAAATTATTTTCTTCTTAATCACACATTTTTTTCAAAAATTAAAATTACAAAACCCATTTTCTCAAAAAATGGAGCTCAAACAAGGACTTCCTTCAAACTTTATTTTATACTATTAAGAAGAAAAATTAACTTTTTCACTTATAAACAATTAGGAAATAATATTTAATCCTTCTTTGGTAGGGATTCAGATTTTAACTGAAGACAGAGTCAACAATTAATTTTAAACACACATTTTATGTAATCACAACTTTTCAACTGCACATTTCTTAGAATTTGATCAAAATTTACTAAAAATCTAATTTTAATCCCGCAAAACAACGGCTTAATATAAAACAATTCAAGTTTTTCATTTTTGCAATTTTTGTGATGAAAAATAATGCTGGGTGTTTGACATCTATTTTAGTAGAAAAATGTGTTTTTGAATAGTGATTGACGGAAGAATGTGTGGTTAAAAAGTAAGGAGGATTTTTTGATTTATGTGTAATATTATTTTATTGATAGAATGTGTGGTTGAAATTGAGAATGAGAAAAAAATGAGAATGGAAATGAGAAAAAAATGGGTGCCAAACGGGGGAGTTTCCATTTTTAAGCACGAATTTGCCTTATATAATTATTTGTCTCTCTATGTCACGACCATTAAAATGCGTTTTTTTTTGTCTTTTTGGAGAAAATGAATTTTAGAATAATGAAAATTTTGAAGAACTGTGATAAAAAAAATGTAAAAAAGTTTTAAATTTACATGCAAATTACTTTTATTGTGAGAATGTATGGTTTAATAATTGTCATACAAATGCATTTAATTTCTTCACAAGTTTGAAAATTAAGTGTGTGTTTGCCTCCCATTATTGTAGAAGAAATGGAGTAATGAATAGTATTTTTCGAAGAATGTGTGGCTGAAATTTAAAGTAATTTTATTGGTTTGTATGTAGAATATTTTATTGGGTGAATATAGGATGGAAAATCTTGTTGTAGTAAACAATGTTTTGAAATAATGAGAGACAAACATAGTATAAATTGGGTTTTGATATAGTTTATTAATTAATCAAATGAGAAAAATATTTTATTATAATTGACACAATTAGGTGTGTGTTTGGTAGGGATTTTTTGGGGGAAGAATTGATTTTGAATAGTGATATGATGGGAAATGTGTGGTTGAAAAAGAAGATAAGATTATTGATGTGATAGAAAATATTATTTTATTGAAAAATGTGTGGTTGAAAATGAGAATTGATTTACTATTGAAAATGAGAATTTTTACCAAACATAGCCCAGATATATTTTATTTATTTATTAGTTTATGAAACTTACGTTTAATTTAGTGGAAATTTCACAAAATCGAAATTTTAAAATTTCGGATATAAACTATTTTTATACAAAAATCAGATATTAATTCAAATCTTTAATACTACTCAAATCCTAAAAATCTCAAGTCAATGCCCACATCTTCATTCTCTCTCCCTCCATCGGCTCTGACCAGTAAAAAGAAAGGCTGCTCCGACTCTGTCTCCGGTGACCAACCGGTAAGCTGCACACAATCGAGGCAACGGTGCCTCACAGTGGCACCAGCATCGCCACACATGATCGTCGCGCGACACCACAACGTTCGTGCAACTCAAAGCGGAACCTGTGTTGCTACTGCTCTACCTTTCCTCTCCCTCTTCCCCTTCTCCATTTTCTTTCTGTCGCGACGTGTGGGACTATGTAAATGGTGGTGGGGGTGGTGTGTTGTGGGTGGTGCTGTGTGCGGCGATGGTATGTTGTGAGCGTTGGGGGGGAGGAGGGGGGGGGATCTGTGGTGAGGTGGTGGTTGGGTGTGGTGTAAATGGAGATAAAGAAGATGGTGGTGGTGATGGTGGTATGTTGTGGGCGTGGCTGTGTATATGTGGTGAGGTGGTGGTTTTCGCGACGGGGGATTCGGTTGCCATGTTGTTGATGGCAGTGATGAGGCTGTAGTCACAAGTGTTGGTTATTTGGTTGTTTGTGACCATTAAATTGATTAACATGTGACTAATAAATAATATTCGACTAATGGAAAAGATAAATTGTGACCTAAAAATAATGTATGACCTAAACATTTATTAATTTGTGATCGATAATTTAATAATTTGTGACTATCTAATAAGTTGTGACTTATAATATTTGTTACCTATAAATAATTTATAACGTTTCAATTTTCGATTTGCAACTGATGATCAAATTGTTACCTATAAATTTTTTGAATTGTGACGTTAAAATAATTTTTTATACATAAAAATTGTGATTTGTGACCAATTAATAATATGTGACTCATTAATTTTATAAATTTGTAACCGATAAAAACATTATGACCTATAAATTTTCGATTTGTGATTTATAAAATTTATAAGTTGTAAATAAATTATATAGAACTTTGACCTTAATATATTTAATTTTTATAAAATATATTTTTAATTAATTAATTAATTTATAAATAAAATTTAAAAAAATTTGACATTTGAAATTTTAAACTTTATCCTCTTAAATTTGAAATGGGTGAAACTTAACCTCTTATTTATGAATTTTTCCCTTTAATTTATTTAACAAACCATGTCAAATATTTTTTCGTGAAAAACATTTGCTTTTACATTATTAGTCAAATGAGTGCAAATTAGCTTACCAATCACAATTTTTGTATATATGTAAATGAAAAAACTTCACCTTGTTAACATTTTATTCTTCCACTAGGGAAAAACCGTCCCTAATTAAATTTAATCAAAATAAATAAGGCAAACGATGAATTTATGACACATTTCTTTTTCTTAATTATTAACATTTCCCAGACTAAATTCTCCAGCACTTCAAAAATGCAATTAGACGACATCTTGAAACTTAGCCTCAATCTCCATCACGATCATTTGCTCTGCATTAAATTGTCTCAGAAAGGGTAGAAGCACTTTCGCAATATATGTAGAGTATTGAACCTTTTCATCATCTGTAATTACCATCTAACGTCTTCACAGTCTGACAACAAACATTATAGTAATTATATTCAATTCACAAGAATAAGCATCTATATAATGCCAAAGCAAGAAAAAGCATAGAAGTAAAAGAAACCTACATTCATAGGTTCATCCATTCGTAAGCATCATTTGCAGTTGCAATTCTAAAGACAAACTGGACAAGCCTTAGAAAATGCTTCTTCTGGGATCTTCGGGTACCTAAATATCAGAGCAAAAAGAAAAATCCAGCAATCAGCAAAAGCACACACAAGTAAATTAGATTTGGTAAAGTTATAGAAGATAATCAGATTACTTATCTCTATTCAAATAGTGTAGCCAAGATATTAGAGGCTTTACATTATCAGTAGGCATATCAAGAAACAGGGCAATGTGTACAATTTAAACCAGCTCTTCGGTCAAAAAGTATTTGACAAATTCCTTTTTTATATTACATGATATCTGTAATTGAAATTGTTGAAACTCTCGTGTCAACGATGAAATCAGCAAGTATGAATTCTGGAATATGAGAACAGTGGTAACAAGTTTGCCACAATACCATTGACAGTATACAATCAATAAATTGTAATAAATAAGATTTAGGAATGCAGGCATAACATGTTCCTTCCAAATAGCTTGTACTTACAGAAGACTCAGGATATACACACAAAACACAGGGCAAAAAGTTGGAGTTGGCAAGAATTTCATACCATCGAACCATGCAGGGAATACTATACTTCTTGGTGTTTCAATTGGTGCACCAGGCACTTCCTTTATCATTCCCCTGACACTGGCGATACATATTTGACACAATCACGTTATCATGTGAATATCTCAACAAAATATAAACACAAACACAATTATTAAATCATTTAAACTGCATGACCTGCAAAAAACACTTGGATTCACAAATTATGAATACATTAAGTGAAAATTTTAAGATTTCCAAAGCCCATTACATTCCCATCTTTCCTTCGGGGACCCTTTTGTTTTGGTACTTTCTCTTCTTTCACCTCTGGTAATTTCTCTCCTTTAACCTTCTTGTCTCTAATTATATAAAAAATTTCACTGACCGAATATACACATATTGAATCTATCATTAATATTCCCAAAATAAAGAAAAAAATATTTCTTGAACCAACAAAAAAAATTATGAATAAATCTATTTACAATAATGAAACAAATCAAAGAAAGGCTGAGGTAGTCATCAAATTTGTGCTTATTCGACAAATTTTATCAAGTCCTTGAGACAAAACACATATGTTTCTTTCAAAGTTCCCAAGCTAAAAGGATATCCCGAGATTCCAGGAAAATGAAGGGTCTCATTCCAAACAAATTCTCAAGCATTTCAAAATTGCAATTAGATGACATACCTTAAAGCTTAGCCTCCATCTCCATCATTTGCTCTGCTTAAAATTGTTTCAGAAAGGGTAGAAGCACTTTTACAATATATGGACCACTGCAGTACTATGAACAAGATCTTTTCTGTAATTAATTTTGAAAAGTTAAAGTATTTTGCACGGTAGCTAATCCAATATGCTTCATCTTCTCTGGTAAATAGATATGTAAACATGCATGAAATAACAAAGATGCACATCACTATAACAACAGCCTTTTGCTAGCATAAACGATAGTGGTGTATAAACTGGTCAATATGTATACTTCTCATAGTAGCACAGAAGATTGATTTGTTACCTGTGCTACTTTTTGGCAACAATTCCAAATGCTGAACTGCGAAATGTCCCTGGACTACATTTTAGCAACGGTAGAAAAATCCTTATGTTGGCTCCAATCATCCATTCCTTTAACACTCGTATCGGTGCAGACAATCTCAGCCTCCTTTAACTTTCCCTCCTCTCTAAGGCCCGAGATTAGCTGTTTACAAATGGAAACATTTGGGAGAAAACCCTCTCTCAGCATGTCTCTGTACCAAATGTATGCCCTGTCCATATCCTTAAACTTGCAATGTCCCTCAATTAGTGTGTTAAAAGTGTTGTCATTGGGAACCAATCCTCTTTCTTTCATTTCATCAAAAAGATCATTAGCTTCCCCAAACTTTCTCTCTTTTAACCGCCCCATAATCAAGTTATTATATGTCTTCTTGTCAGGGGTAAATCCATGATTTACCATCTCACTATGTAAGGCAAATGCCTTGCAAACATCTCCATGCTCTACACAACAATGAATGAGCTCATTATATACAATTCTATCTGGAATCAGGTTAATCTGGGCCATTTCTTGAATAATTTTCTCTACAAGATGTAGTCCTTCCTTTTTGCAAATGCTTATTAAAGGATGATATGTGTATAATGTAGGTTTTATACCAGATGTTTTCATCTCCTCATATAACTCCAAACACTTCTCAGTTTCAGCTGCATTTGAGTACCCATAGATTAAGGAATTGTATGTGATAACGTCAGGAATTAAACCTTTATTTTTTATCTGAAGGGCTAAGTTTTCAGCTTCCTCAACCTTACCCTTTTTACAGAGCCCATTAATGAGTGCATTGTATGTCACAAGGGTTGGGGCTATATCACTTCTTAACATCTCCTCAAAACATGTAAAAGCATCTTTTATATGTCCTCTTGTGCAATGACCATCTATGAGTATATTATATATCTGCACATTTGGCCAAATGCTTTTATTCATCATATCCTTAAAGAGTACTTCAGCTTCAAGAAGTCGGCCATCCTTGCATAAAAAATTTAATAGAGAACCATAGGATATGACATTAGGCTTCAACCCATTATTTTCCATTTCTTCAAGAATTTGTAAACACTTCTCAAACTGACAACTCCGGCCATAACCGTCAATTAGAATGTTATATGACTGCACACTTGGACAAATTTCCTTCTCCCTCATCTTCTTAAACCACTCATTGGCATCGTCCATCTTACTCAACTCACAGAACTTGCTGATTACCGAATTGAATGTAATGCAACTTGGTTTGACCCCAAAATTTTCCATTTCTTCAACAACAAAAAGTGCCTTGTCCATGTCACCCACTTTACAATATCCATTCACCATGGTATTCAGCATCACCTCTGTTAAAACAACCCCATTTTCCTTCAACTTCTTCAAAACCTCTTCAGCCTTATCCATCTTCCCTTCCTTGCAGAACCCATTCAACAAAATGCTACAAGTATACTCATTAATCCTCAACCCTTTTTTTACAGCCTCTTCATACAACACCATCGAAGCCTCTGCATTTCCACATCGTGAATGCCCATCAAACATTATGCTATATGTAAACCCATCAGGCACAAACCCAATGAGCTTCATTTCCTCCATAATCCTGTTTGCCTCCACCATCCTCCCCATTCTACAGACCCCGCTAAGCAATGTATTAAATGTTACAATATTAGGCTCCACATTATCACTTTTCATCTTTTCCTTCAAATTAAATGCACGATCTAAAGCGCCCATTTTACAATACCCATCTATAAGACTATTATAAGTAACTATATTTGGCACCACTCTGCTCTTGAGCATTTCATCAAACAGATTCTTAGCTTCATAAACTCTCTTCACTTTGCATAATCCACCAATCAAGACATTATACACAAACCCATTAGGATTCAAACCACGTTTTTTCATATGATTCATCAACTCCAAACCCCTTTTCAAATCCCTCAACTTTACAGCAGATTGTATAGCTTTCCCATAACTAAATTTATCTACCCAAATATTAGAATCCATAGCATCGGAAAATATCTCGAGCATCTTCTCAAATTGACTTGCACCCACCAAACATTCAAGAAACAAATTGAACACCGAGAGAGAAGGAAAATTACCATCTTTCCGTATCAAATTGTAGAGTTGGGTGGCCTCATTGGGGAGCTTCGAATCAGCATAGACTGACAAAATCGTGTCATTGAAAATATGTTTTGTATTGGTGAGTGGTGAGGATTGGGAGTAGAGAGTGTAGAGTTGTGAAACCGAATGCGAAGAAATCAGATTTTTGAGGTGCCTCTTTGCGGTCTCAATCCGATTCTGCTGGAGGAGTATCCGGACCTTTCGAATCTCTTCCTGCAATCGAGTTTGGGTTGTCGGATCTCCGAAGGAGGAGGAGAGGCAGAGGGATTTTACAGAAAGAGGACTTGGGCAGTTTCGAAAAATGGGAATATGGAATTTGGAGGGAAGGCCATGGCTTAAGAAGCGTTTTACCATTATGGCGGACCGTGCTGGGTTGGATTCGCAGACCACTGCTCGATTAATTACACACGCACGCACAAAAAAAACGGAGCAAAATTGCAGCCACACTACCAAATTTTTTATTTAGTTGCACATTTTGTTCAAACATTTCATTTGTAGCACTGTGGATATCAAATCTTTCAAAAATTCGCACTTGAAGTTCAAATGGATAGAAACCGTTGGTTTGACTGTTAGTCAACTAGAGAATTGAATTTGACCATAATCTTGACTAGATTTAAAAGGACAAAATGGTAACTTCACATTTTTTAACATAAAACACAATATAATATATTAATTATTAAATAAAAAACAAAAACAAGTACCACCACCACCCCTTCTTCCCCGAACCCCTTTACCTCAAAATCACCACCCACCTAACGCCGACACCACCGTCACACCAGCCACAATCGATCATGCCAATGGAGACCTCATATTCTCTCTCAACCTCATAATCGATCCTATCCCGAATCTAGAATTTTTCAATTCATCTCTCAACCACATAATTGATCCCAACCCAGATCTAGACTTTTTCAATGGAGACCCAAATCATCAACTGTGACGCTTGGCCACATTGAACACCAGCAAAATAGTGGTTTGTATTGTGTTTATGATCGGCAAGACAAATGAAGCAGGTGTATGAATTAGTTGATTTGTATTAATATCTTTTCGAGACTTCATCTGTTGATTTCTGGGGAATTAGTTGTGGATTCTTGTTGTGGTGGTTCAATAGGTGGTGATGTTATTGGTTTTAACTGGAAGTGGTAGTTCGGTAGGTGGTGTTAGTGGGTTCTTGATGCGACGGTGATAAATGGTGGTGTTAGTGTTCAATAGGTGGTGTGTTAGTGGTGAATGAAATGACGTGATGAGATATTATTGATGAGGTAGAGAACTAGGATATAGGAGGGTGTGTGGTTCCGACAGTGGAGAGGCAATAAATTGCAGGTGGCGGAGATGGAAAATACAATATATAGTTCCAACCCAAGATGTTTTGGGTTTAGTTTTCAAATAGAAATCTGAGTAAGGCAGCGAAAATGGTTAAGTTGTTAGTGTGGATAACGAAATTTAGCGTCGACGTCCTGGAGGAGGCGGTGGTGATGGTGGAGGCATTGTCAGGTTGGTAGCGATGATTTTGGGGTAAATGATTTGGAATGGGGTTGAGGGTGGGGGAGATGATATGGGTGGGTGGTTTTGGTTTTGGTTTTTATTTTATGTTTTATGTTTTTTGTTTTATTAGTTAATATATTTAATTTTTTTTGCTAAAAATGTAAATTTACCATGTTACCCCTTTAAAAATTGGTCAAAATAAGCAAAACTCTAAGGCCCTGTTTGGTCCACATTATTTTTTTTATTCTTATTCTTCTACTCATTTCTTCAATAAAATAATATTTTCCATCACATCAATAACTTTTCCTTCTTTTTCAACCACATATTCCCCTTCACATCAACAGTAAAAATGCATTCTTACCTTCAAAATGTGCACCAAACGGGGGCTAATTCTCTAGTCAACCAATGATTTCCATCAATTTGGACTCCAAATACAGTTTTTTGAATGGATTGATACCGACGGTGATACATATGAAATGTTTGGATAAAGTCTACAACTAAATAAAAAGTTTGGTGCTCTGACTACAATTTTCCCAAAAAAAAAAAAAAATCACCTGTGAATTCGTTGGTCCTGTCCGAAGATGGACTCATTTTTTTGCGAGATCTAACCTTCAACAACACAACACACTGTTTTGTTATCTTTCATTTATGATGCATTATTATTGACATGCCAAAAATATTTTCTCCAAAATGCTGTGATTCCCACAAGAACTCTTGATACCTATTCAGCCAAGGTTTGCGTGGTTGAAAAGTTAATAAAAATTATGAATTTTCTAAAATTTTTGTTTGGTGAGAATTAAAATCAGTTTTTTAATGGATTTTGATAAAATTTGATAAAGTATGATTAAAAAACTGTGGATCTCATAAAATATGTGATTAAAATTAATTGTTAATTTTTACCTAAATTAAAATCTGAATTTTCATTTGCACTAAACAGGAGCAAATTGTGTTGTTAAAATGAGTTCGTGAAAATTGAGTTTTAAAAAATTGAGATCAAACAAGAGCTTAACGTGCATGTTGATAATGTTTGGCCCATATTAATACGCGTTATAATGAGAGTACTAGTAATTTTTTGAAAATGTATTACTAGAAAAGAAGTAAAGGTTTTTGGATTTACTTATAATATTATTTTATTGAACTGTGTGTAGTTAACAAGAAGAAGAAGAAACATTATAATTTAATGGGGCCAAAAGGAGCTTGTATTAATTGTCTATGCTTTATTAATTGTCTAGTATTAAGTCCCTATTTGTCTTCCATTCTTTTAAAAAAAAATTTCTACATATTCATTTTCAATTATATATTCACACAATAAAATATTATACACGTAAATTCAAAATTTTCCTGATTCTTAACCGCGCATTATCCAAAAAATAATTATTTAATATAATATTTTTTTCAAAAAAAATGCCACCAAACAGGGGCTATGTTTGCATAACAAGGGATAATTATTTTATTTTGCTGCATTTCTCCCGAATGGATTTATCATGTTTGAAAGAAATTGAAGAAAATACATTAATTCCATCTAGGTTATTTTTTGATCAAATTCTTACTTTACCAGAAAAAGGTAAAATTCTGCTAGGAATTCTCTCACAATCATTCTAAATTACCTGCTACAAAAAACAATGTGCTCTCCCATATATGTTTCTGTAATTCACTTTTCAAATCATTCAAGTCACAGCTTGAATTCTTATGCTTAACCTAAAAGGATGACCTGTTCTTTCTCCGAACGGCAAAAAAACTGCAAAGGGATCGATATTGCTGAAGATGCCACTTCAGCATCATGCTGAAAAGAGAACAAATAAGCACATGGTAACGAACAGCAGATGATCGGTCGAGCAGTTCGGAAGTACTCATTATGAGTGGGGAACAAAGGTTCCGACATAACCAAATCCCATGATGAAGAAGGTAACAGCTTGAACGAAGCGGTAGACAAAATAGTGGTTTTTCCCGAATGCCAAGTCGTAACAACCACAAAAGAAGAGGTATGCACCAGTCCCAAGTTCCATCAAATGGATTCTGTTGACAATATACGACAATTGGAGCTTCAGTCGAGGTATCGTAGATTGAACAAATAGTGTACAATGTGCTGAATTGAACAAATATTTATGTGTACTCACACACACACACACACACACACACACATATATAGAGAGAGAGAGAGAGAGAGAGAGAGAGAGAGAGAGAGAGAGAGACCTTTCTCCAATCTTAAATCGAGGTCGTTTAAAAGCTTTTACGGCTGACTTCAACTTGAGAGCATCCCCGAGTTTCTCAGTGACAACCCATTCATTCACTCTCCCTGCCTCCAACAAGCCGATGAAGGTAGCTTTACTCCGGTGTAATGACATGCCATTCTCGAAAAGAATCCAGAATACCAGCAAATGAAGTGATCTACAAAAACATTAAAACTTACCAACATCAATGAAAATTGATTACAAATAACAGATTAACTGCACCGATACTTGATTTGACGAAGAGACAAACCTTGGAGTTCCAACAGCATTGAGTACGGTAATGATTGCAGGTATGTAAACTGATCCCCACTTCGGAACTTCAACTTCAGGTACTAATACAGTCGCAGGCAATACAATGCAGTAAAACACGAACGTAACTATATGGGCTACGATCTTCCTGACCATGAAGAAGCTGTATATTACGTAGACCTTTTTCCAAAAAGATACTTTCTGCAAGAAATAGCATAGAAAAACAAGAAAAGAACAGTTCAATATAGCACTCAATTGCAAGACAAACACATGGTTTTTGGGAAACAGTAGTTGAAAAACTAACCTTATTTCTTACAATCTCTGAGAGCATTTTTCTGAAAAGATTGGCAGGACCACATGACCAACGATGTTGTTGGTAGCGAAAGGCTTTGAATGTGCTTGGCAATTCATTTTTTACCTGTTAATAAAAGAGAAATTCAAACATAGAAACGTACCTTGGGCTAATAACAAATTGTGGCAACATTTTCTTCTATATAGTACAAAAACAAGCTTGTTTGGTACACAGTATCGAACTAAGTACTAAGCATCTAGGTACCATGAGAGTGCCAAGGTATAAGAATTTCCAGCCTTTGAGACTAGCTCGGACAGCAAGATCCATATCCTCAACTGTTGTCCGATCCTTCCATCCCCCAGCTTCGTCAATTGCAGCAATTCTCCACACACCAGCAGTCCCTATAAGTTTACAAACACGAAACGAATTAAGTTTTATTTACAATAAATTTAAAAATAATAAAAAGCACATATAGATTGCAATGGTTATTACCATTGAAGCCAAAGAAAGCATGGGTGGCTGATCCTACTTCTTGCTCCACTGTAAAATGATAGTCCAGTGACATTTCTTGCATTCTTGTCATCAAGCATTCATCAGCATTTACTGAAAAACAACCCAAAAGCCATAAAATATCTTTTAATGGACCAACTTAATTATTTATGTTATTACAATTCACAAAACCCTGTTAAAGAAATTAAATTTTAAAGGTCCATCAGTCAATCATACACAGCAATTGCTGGCAACAAGAAGTAAGAACAAGAACAGGGTTTGATAAAAGACAAATATACCCTTGTCTTGATTAATAAGTCCCACCCCTTTGGAGAATATAGGATTTTCTGACAACCATGGCCGCAAATCTAGCACTTCCTAATTGGATAATTTTGATGGACACGACAGCTTTTGTCAGAAAAAGAGAATAGTCTGTGAGATGGGAGATTATATTTAGAGTGTGTTTAATCCACGTCATTTTGGAAGAATGTATTCTAGAATAGTAAATTGATGGAGAATTTGTGTTTGAAAAAGAAGGAAAAATTATTGATGTGATGGAAAATATTATTTTATTGAATAATGTGTGTTTGAAAATGAGTAGAAGAATGAAAATAAAAATTTTAATGTGTACCAAACAGGGACTTAAGGGTTTGTTTGGCACAGCTTTTTTTGAAAAACTAATTGTCCTCCCATCAAGAAACCAAACCCTTTGAATCCCCTTTAACACTTCTAAATGGTCCCCTCATCACATAACTGTCTTACGTATACACCAATGACATATTTGGCAAATAAATTAGATAGAACGTGATAATATTGTATACTAAACATGCAGTATGTACATATACAATTAAATTGATTGAATACATAATTATTGAAATATCTCAATTAAATTGATTGAAACAAGTAGTAGCATATTAGAACTAGTATAGTACGCTCTAGTCAATAACAATTAGTTACACATCTTTGTGTAAGTAAAACGACGTGGAAAATAATTTATGCAGTCGACTCTAACAATCAGTAAAATGCTGATGGGTCAAAAAATTACCGAATTTCCAACGAGCCTGAACAAGAGCGAGTTCTGGGTTGTGCACTAAAAAGGGGATTGTTCGCCGTAGAAAATCTGACTCGGGTTGGAAATCTGCATCAAATATGGCTACATAATCACAGTGCTTTGCGTAGTTGTGCTTTAATCCCTGTTTTAGTGCCCCTGCTTTGTATCCCTTTCGATTGTCCCGAATTTCGTATTTAATATTTATCCCTTTGCTTGCCCATCTTTGGCACTCCATTTCCACCATATTCTATCAATTCCATGGCACGCAAACCCAATAAAAATCAAGAAAACATACAAACAAAATAGAAAAAATGATATGTTTGAATGATCTGGGATTTACCTTGACAATGGGATCCGTTGAATCATCGAGAACTTGAATTATAATACGATCAGAGGGCCAAGAAAGGCCACATGCAGCTCCAATTGAGAATTGATACACCTGTACATGCATACACAAGAATTCAACCCCAAATGTGCATAATAAGGAAGAAAAGAATGCCAAAAAAAAATAAATTAATAAATAAAAATGACCTCTCTTTCGTTGAACATTGGGATTTGTATGAGAACAGTGGGATAAACTGAATTTCCCAGCTCCAAATCATCTTTTAGAGGCTCCCATTTGTATCTTTTTTCTGGGTTTTTTCCAAATATTTTTACAAGAACAATAACAATGCTCATATACACCCTTTCAACGAACAACATTACTGACATCAACAAACACAAAAGCAGAGCAATTCTAAGCAAAGGTGCAATCAATGGTGCTTTCATTTGATCCCAAATGATCATAAATTGCCCTGTAATATCATCTCTTGCACCCACAAATGTGTCTGGTAAAAGGGTTGTCGACGAAATTCGTTCCATTTTTGGAGAAAAACAGATGAAATTGACCTGGGTTTTTCTTAGAAAATCAGGATCTGGTTATGAAATGTTCGAAAAAAAACCCAAAATAAGCTCTGTTTTCTCCCTTTTCTGCTTCTGTAATCAGTAGAAAACAGAAGCAGAAGAATGCATGTAAGTAATTAAAGTAAACAAGAGACAAAAAGAGGGAAGAAAAGGCAATGGAGAAAGAAACAGAGCAATGAATATAGATAGAGGGAAATGAAAGAATGGTAGGGAGAGAACGACTCTCTGCATTTTGGTTTCAAACACCACAAGAAAATAAAACTATTCCAACTACAAATCAAAGTGCGCGGTTTGTATACACCAATGACAATAACTTCTCACCTACAAAACTCTGACAATGTGTCAGTCACCGCCGGTCATATTCCGGCCACGTCGCCGTCCATACAATGTATGTGGACACGTGTTTAAAGAATGCGGCTAATATTAATAAGGATTAACCTAAATTTATATTTGGATGATTGATGATTCAGAATGAAAGAGGACATAAATGCGAGGGACCAAACAATTCATATCACAAACAAAGCCCAAATCCATTTATGTGACAGCTCAGATAATTAGTAATTTTAGAACCTATTTATTTATTTTTACATAAATTTGCTTGTAATTCCCTCGGCTTGGTTCCATCGGCCAAACAAGGTTTCTTCCTCAAAATTAAGAGAAAATTGCAACCTTCAAGTCAAAATTATTCCTCCTGCCTCCAACTCTTGGTTTTTCATTTCCAAGAAAAAAATTGTTTCCATTTTTCCCGTTTGATTTGATGTAGTTAAAAATCAATTTTTTATGTAATTTTGATAAAAGTTGATAAAGTAAAAAAAATTGATAAAAGTTGTAGATTTCGTGAAATGTGTGATTAAATTAATTGTTGACTTTAATTTAAATTTTTAGACCACGCCAAACGAGAGCTTTGTTTTCAATCTAGCTAACGTGATCATTGCGTAGCAAGATATGCTATTGCCAATTTTAGAAAAATGATAGTAAGTTGAAATACTAGCCAGGGCTTTAATTCTAAAGGATAAACCGCATCTTTAGCGGCCCCCACCTGCCCTACCCTGGGCTTGGTGAATGAGGTAAATCGCAGGTTATGTCTCCAAGGGTACATGGTGGAAGACTGCTTGTACACTTGCACTTACCCAATGGCCAAATTCTTATTTCAGGATTCGAACCCTTGACGCGGCAGCCTCAAGCAAAGTTGAAATTTTTTTACCTTCCCCTTTTATCACTTGGAGATGTGCCATGGGGGCGACAGTTCCAGTTTAGAATTCATATTTCAGGATTCGAACCCTGACGCAGCAGTCTCAAGCAAAATTGGAGTTTTTCCACCTTTTCCTTTTACCACTTGGAAATGTGCCCTAGGGGCACCAGGACTTTAATTCTAAATCGAAAGCTGACTTAGTTAAGGTGAGAGTTGTTGAGCTCGTACGCATCACATGTTAGCTATAAAGTATTTCCAAATTTGAAGGTCCCACCTCGTGCCATAAAAGGCGAAGTTAAAAATATCGAAACATGATATAATTATACATCTATTTTAAGACGAGTTAGTTATAACTTTATATATCAAGTTGATAAGCTCGGAGCACATGTGCACACACCAAAAGAGTTTTAACATGTTAAGTGCACAACATATGTGTTAAAAATCGAGTAGATTATGCATGCCCTCTATCAAGAATCCATGAATTACATCAAAACGTTAACATGCAATGATGACGATAGTGCAAAGGGTATGAAAAAACGATGTAAATCAGTGAAATTGTGACTACCGACAAGACCTATTTATGAGTCTCGAAAAGACACGACAGTAGGAAATGACATGTCCAAACAAACATACGTTGTCTGCACAGCACATGTATGAACATATCTAACTATACATTATTTATATCTCCTTTCCAAAATTTTTAACAAATTTGATTTTTTTAAATATTTTGGGTGTGGAAGGAGATTTTTGAATGTTGAGGCCATATTCTTCAATGCTGTGTGTATAACAAATTTCCACAAGTATACTATAGACAAACATAATTGATAGGTTTTCCGAACATTGAAATGATATTTCATCTAACTTGTCTTTCAAATTCTGCAGCTACATAATGAATTTATTGAACTTCAAACCTTACAAATATAATATATATTTATTTAATAGTGCAACACTTAAAAAGCAGTTTGAAAAGATTATATATTTAGATTTTTAAAATAAAAAATGATGGTAATTTAATAAATATTTCTCGAGAAAAAGTAAAACAATGAGTATTCTTGAAGTGTATTAAAAATTTAACTCTATAAATTTAAAAATACTCTTTATTATGCCTAAAATGTTTTATATGAATAGGCGAGTAATGGTTTGCTCTACAATTTGCGTACGGCCAAAATCGTTTAATTATACAGTTGACATGTTAAATCATATCGATAACAATTATTTTTAATAATTTCTGAAGAGTACAAATTTTTGAACAAGCTGATTTTTATTAAAGAAAGAATGAAAAGAAGATGCACATTGTTGAATACATCCATACAAATTTTATACTTTAACTTGCTTCAAGACAAGAAACATAAAGAAGAGAACAATATCTCAATCGGTTCAATTCAGTCCAATTCGACCAAATTTCAAAATTTTAGAATTGATAGGCACACATAATTGATAGGCTAACGATGGGGAACACTGAAATGACATCCCATGTCTTCTAAGTTATGGTAATTTATCAATTAATTGAACATTAAAACCATACAAATATATATATAGTTGAGTAATGCTACTTGCAGTCGCTCACTGCAGCAATCGTCTTATGCGGCACACACATGACATGTGGTTATTTGAAGCATTAATGTGGTAGATTTTGACCACATTTAATGCATCAAATACACACTTGACATGTGTATGACACATATGACGACTGTTGCAGTGAGCGACTGCAAGTAGCATTATTCTATATACTTATGCTTCGTTCTCTTTCAAAACGTCTAATTGTAAATTGCGTTTTCAAAGTCTTCACATGCAATAGATGATGTGGCCTTCTGAAATATACGTTTTAGTTATTTTCTCGTATCGTTTCAATTTTATTGAACTTACCAAAAAATACTATGCCATGTTAAAATAGTTCGATACGATTAGTTACAAAGTAAAATGGATGTCAGTTCAAAAACGAGTAATTCCAAAAAAAAAAAAAAAAAGTTTGATTAAGCTTAAAAGAAAATAAATTTACTCTTTTTTTTATAACGAGTATAAATTTTCATTTATATAAAACTTATCTTCTTCGATATTTTTCTGTCTTTTATCGAAATAATTGGGTTTTGCTAGCTCATTATCAGTCAATTTCTGTAATTATTTTATTTTCGAAGAGCAAATTTGTATAATAATAATAACTTACGTGGGTGGGTGGGGTTCATAGTTTTTTTCTGGGAATTTCTTGGCTAGACAGACACTCTTTATTTACAATAATTCAATTAGTCAGTGTCACTATAATTAATCCACGTACATTTATTACAAGTCTTTCTATAGATATTAAATTTAATCACCAGTCCAATTAATTTGCTGTCATTTTTAACAAATGTAAGCTAACACGTAGTCCTATTTATATTTACGGGCATTCTCCCTTCTTGAACATAATCATCATTAAGGGTGTATTTAATTGTAATTATTTTTCATGGAAAATATCCGTTTTTTACCCAAATTTTTACTTTGACGTGTTTGATTGCTATTTTTTCTATCGAAAATATTTTCCAACTTTTAGCCTATGTTTGTCGCATATTTTCAGCCCAAAAGAATAAAAAAATGGACCGTTAGTGTACTTTTTGAGCCCTTTTTTTTACCTCTCTCACAAGGTGGGGCCCACTAGCAGTACAAACTGTCATATTTTTTCTATTTAGGAGGTGAAGAAAAAATTTGTTCTTTATCAAAAAAATTTCCGCGTTGAGGTCGTTGGTCATGAATTGAGAATAAAAAGTTCGAGTAAGATATCCTTACGCCAGATTGCCCCGAATTGAGAATAAAAAGTTCGAGTAAGATATCCTTACGCCAGATTGCCCTATACAAATATTTGAATGGAGAAAAGGCGACACTAAATTCCAACAATATTGATGTTGTTACTCATGGATTAGGACATGACACTAATATTTAAACAACACAAAAGAATATTTTTTGGCCCCTCAAACTTCAACGACCAACACCAGGGCAGGGCAGGGCAGGGCAGGGCAGCCGAAAGCATTGAGTCTACTATGCTGGAATGTGCAAGGGCTGTGGAAACCCTGACACGAGAAGGGCACTGTGAAAGGTGGTTCGTAGTGCATTCCCTAGTCTAGTTTTCTTTGTGCTAACTATTGTGTTTTTATATCGCAAGTGTACGATAACGTAAGAAATAATATAATGGACATTTGAGTCCGGATTATCGTTCCTACGAGAACTAGACTTTAATGCTTAACTATTTTTTAACTATTATCTGACGAAAACAGACAAAGAGTTATTATTTGTTGTGATTTTTAATCTAAATACTTGAAAATATGTGAATGGACACAAAGATTGATTTAGTGTTTCAATTATGAAATAGATATTATGGTACAATAATTTCATCTATTAATAACATTTACATCTTAATTTAAGATTCAAAACATAATGTAGTGTTCGATCGAATTCTTCTATTGTATTCAATTTACCAATCTCGAGTTCTCATTGAACATATTTAACTAATTCAATCATATATCTCTATGTGAATCAAATTTAGTTAAATAAAATATTAGTTTTAAGAATTCATCTAAGACCACAATAATTAATATAGCTATCTCTACATATTATATAGCTTCTGGGCAATCGCAGCACTTGGGCGTTGCATCTCTATTCCAAAACTCGCTCCTGGAACTTGGGCGCTCCAATTATGGTGCCTAGACGTCAATTTGCTACTCCTTTTCTTTGGCTTTAGCTTATTTGTTCACTTTAGCACCCTTTTACACCATCTCACAAAACCTTAAAAAAAATA